ATGACCAATCTATGTTAACTGTGATTCTTTGTGACCATACTTCTGTTAATAGGAATATGTATTCCATAAGATTTTAACATGAGTCTATTTGTGACCAGGTTATAAATTTTTAATAGGAGTATGTATTTCATAAAATGTCTGCATGAATGTAACATATTAGATATGTTTTATATGTTGTTTGTGATCAGATTTGTGTTATCATTGACTATATGTGATTATGTATGTGTTAACTGTGACTATTTGTGATAGACATGTATTAACTGTAACTGTCTATGACATGTAATGCATTGAATGTGACATGTTGTTTTATGAGAGTCGCATTTTATCATAAATACATTATTAATATTTTTTCTGTACATAAAGTAATCTAAATTTAGTTGATATAATAGGTCACAAACATATTAGAATATTGGACATGTGACTAACTATGACCTTGATCAAATGTCTAATTTTGTATAAATTAGAATGTTAGATATGTGACTATGGCTTTGATCATAAACATAAACATGTGACTGTAACCTATAATTGGTTGACTTCGGCCTACTTTTTTTTCTTTTTTTTAATCACTATTGACTGTTTTACAGAATAAATCATATATTGTGACCTATACAATCACTTGTATTTTGGCATGCAGAATTATAGTTTCATACAACCGTGTCTTGTATGTGTTTTTATTGAAATATATGGTCACAAAACCAAATATTACATGTACATCAAGATTTAAATAAGAGATTACATAATGCCACATGACAATCTACCATTTGCTAGTTTAAAACACAATCAATTTTTTCATCCAATCTTTTCCTCTACATCATTTGGGTAACCGCTTATATACCATTTTAACGTATAAGTAGCAAAATCCAAAAATTGGATGAAAGCACCTCTTCTCACTATGTTAGCAAATTTCATGTGCAATTAAATGCATTTAATCCTCCATATACCAACCTAATCAAGCTCAGATCGAAGCACATTTAACAAGAATTATTTTACAAAAAACTATTAGACCTCAACAAGAAATTAGGTTAGAATTTATAGATGTTAAGTCAGATTATACGAAAAATCATGTCACAATATATATAAAATAGGTCATATTTTATCCTAATGAGGTCGTGAATTTCCAAAATTGGTCATATCTAACTAAAAAATAAAAGAGGCACTTTTTCAGATACTGTTCACAAGCCGGTTCTAACTAAAACTTCGTCCAGCCGTTCCCTGAAGTCGAGCCGTTGGCTCAGCCATGGTTGGAATTTGGAAAGTTCATAAAGTCTTCCGGTTTCTAGTTTTATTAAAAGGAGGTCACAGATTACATATGCATTTTTTTAGTCACTTATAAATAAAACTAGGTGCAAGCAACGTGCAATACACGTTTGCCTAGTTTATATTTAATAGTTTTGTTTAAGAATTAATTTGTTATTAATAAAGATGTAATTTATTTGGTTAATTAAATAATTAATGATGTAATGTTTATGTAATTGATAAATAATTAGATGTGTGATTTTGATGTTGTGATATAAGTTGGTGAGATCGAAAAAAATAAACAAAAGTTGACAAATTTGGAGAAATGGCTAAATTGTAAGGGATCCAAAGTTCGGGGACTAAAATGTAAATACTTAAAAGTTGTGCCAAACCTCACGATGAAGATTTGAGAGTGCTCGGAGTCAATTGGATAAAGGAAGACGTCAATGGAATCAAATTTAGTCAAAAGATGATCACAAATCAATTTCCAACCGAAAAGTTATGCTCCGATATTTTAGTCTCATATTGAGACCTATTTTTGGCATAGAAAGTGATCGAATTGGAGAATGATGTCTGAATCAAAGTTGTAGCCAGATGAGTTAGCTTTCCAACCCATTTTGAATCGCCTCAATCGGATATCGGAATACAAAGTTATGATAAAAATACTGAAAGAAGGTACAACTACCTGTTTAAAACAAGAAATTCCGTTACATAGTCCGTTAAATCAACAAATTCCGTTATTTTTTTCGTTAAAAATAAGAAATTCAGTTATATAGCCACTTTTAATATATAGAAGAAATAGGCCATAATACAACATATTTAGGTCACAATTATTTATTTATTTATTTATTTTTGACTTGTGACCTGTGATATAAATATATTGTTACCTTAACGTTTTGACTACTATAAATTGTAACCCATCACGTGTTCGGTAAATTGAATATGTTAAGCGACAATCTAATCAGGGAGACAAAATTTCACCAACATGACGCAACAACAACAAAAAATGACAAATAATCAAAACAACCACAAATCCTTTGATATACATATTAAATGATATATACACAAATCAAATGATATTCAACAAGATACACATATCAAAAGATAGTTGATCTATCAGTCAAAAAAATATCTAATCTGTTGATTTTAAGCAACATCGAAGCAATGTCCATCCTCACTCTACTAGCATTAAACGACATCGGCATGTTCACAAGGTCGTTGTGGAGTAAGGTTAAATTTCCATTCCTACATAGAATAATTGGATAAGCATAACGTCAATCATGACCGAGTCTTTTTTTAATATTAAAAATTTAAAATCAGATTGGTATCTCTTGAACAAAACGGTAAAAGAGTAAATTCATATTTTCTGTGTACATTTGGAACTTTTGTATCATGATATTGTCATTGACATTTATGTACAGAAAATTATTACAATTTGTTAAATATTTTTTAACGTTGTGGATTGTGGAAGATGCTAATTGGCTAGAGTTGTCGATACCTTAAAAACGACAATGATTATTTTTTAACTTGATGAACAGACTAACTTGTTTGATTAATAAACTGTACTAAAATGGAATTGGATAAAAACCAAATCCATAGTTTTCATAGATCACTAACTCGTTCCAATTAATTACTTGTAAATTACTCTACATTTATAAGAACAAATGTGCAACGCGAATAAGAATCGCCATAAGATTTAAACTTTCTGTTGTCAAGGATGAATATATGGCACTATATGAAGTAAATATCACAAACACATAAAGACAAAAGATAATTGGTAGATGAAATGAGAATTTACTAAAAAAATATGAAAATATATATATATATATATATATAAAGATTTTGTATTTACAATATTGTTTAACTTGTCTAAATCACAATGAATAGCTAACTATATAGGAAACATTTCAAACACTAAAAATTAGAGTTATACATATAAAAGAATGCTGAAAATGTGAAACGGGCATGGGCAGGACGAACTGCAATTCAAGTGCTAGGTAGGCCGCGACTCTACTGCTCGAGCGGTAGGCATGCGCTAAGGGAGCGCCACCAGCTTCCCCTACTTGGAGCGCTCGAGAGGGAATTAGGCTCTCAGAATGCGCCGAAACTTTCTTCCTAGTCCATATTTTAATCTTTTCATGTTCAACACAAATTCAAAACTTCCAATTGAATTTCAACTAGAATTAACAAATAGATTTCAAATAGAATTCCCAAATAACATCCCAAATAGGATTCAGGTCACACACTAATTTTAACCCTTCCCATCCTCAATAAGGATTTTTGGAGTTACGAATTTAATACAAAATGAGTCAACGGTCTACTCAAGTTTTTCACTAAACAAACATGGTGACATTATGGTTAGGTTGAAAATATACTGATTAATTCGAACAAGATCATGATTATATACATTGACTAAAGTTTAGAGACATCAAACACTACTATTATGCCGTTGATTATAAATAATCCCGACTGCGGATGGCGTCTGGTTTCTACATTTTTCAACCACCTTTGCCATGTGTTTGGCTCATAGTTTCTAGGTATGGTCAAATTTCTTTTATCTTCGTACACTTTGTAAGATTGACAAGTATTATTCATTTCTCCATCAGCCATTTACCATATTTACAAACACCTAACCGAACATACCCTTAAATTTTCATGAAAATTGCTCTCATTGTGATTAAGTTATTGATTTAGCTTCTGTTTGAGCCCCATCTGTTCAAAATGAGTTTTGTAATATTGTATTTTTGAAAATGTGTCTAAAAAGTAATGAAAATTTTATTGGAGGGGATGTGGGATTGAAAATAAATTTAAGAAAATAGTAAGAATCTTAAGAAAATCGAACTCAAACAAGACCTTAGAAAATGTTATCATTCAAACATTTTACTTACTTGAAACTTTTTTTTTATTATTATTTTTGAAAAGAAAGTAAATATTTAAATTATTTGATATTCTTTTTAGATTTAAAAAAGTGTCGTCCGATCAAAATCATGGCTCATTAGAGCCGTTCAAAAAAAAATTAAAAAAATGGAAGATCTAGATCATTTCAATTGCTATGAAGAAGATTGTAGTATAGAAGGAAGTGAAACAGAGGAATATGGTAGGAGTACAATAAGCAATAAAAGAAATGCATGTGTTCGCAAGCTACTTGACTTCGCTACTGCTTCTACATAGTGGTCGATTTAGAAAACAGTATATATTCTTGTTACACCGAAATGTCTATAATCTAGTGCTGTTGCTTAACCTTTATAATGGAACAAGAAGAAGAACTGCGCACATAATCTGGAGATTTAAATAAATTAGAACCTAAGTATTAAAAAGATAAAATAAAAAAATGATATATGTTCCAAATCTAACTAATAAAATCTATCGTCTCCCGCAATTTCCTCTCACCCTTTCATCTTCAATAAGAAGTCCTGAAAAAAAGAAAAATCTTTCTGATATTCAAATCTCGAGTCATTCGTAGAATTTTCTTCTCCTCAAATTCTTCTCCGCATTGAAAACTCTCCCCTCTCTCTCTCCTCTTTCTTTTTACGTCCTTTAATTACGCGTTCATATATATATAATTACTAATTTACTTGCGACTTCTCCCTTTGTGGCTACAGCCTTCGTAGTTTCATCCCCCTTTGCAGGTGCATCCCCCATCTTCCTCCTGCACTTCATTGCACCTGTTCTTTCCCAAAACAAAAAAGGCCCTCTCAATTTTATTTACTATATTTCGAGTTTCACAATCAAGAATTAGATTCTTGTTTTTCCGATCGTAAAAAATGCCTTCTTTGGCCGGAGAAGAATTCTTTCTCCCATCAATGCCGGGGAAGTTTAAAGATAAATCCCACACGTTGCACAGACAGTTCCACCGGTGTTTCGCTTCCACCAGTACAATGTTCTTGTGGGCTCTTTTCTTGGTGGTGTTAACAGCGTCGTACTTGAGTTTCCAATCTTTTGTGGATTCCAGCAGCAAGTATTTGTCCTCCGCCTGGGGTGGTATACAGTGGGAGAAACAGGTCCGGGCCTCCGCTCATATTCACCGCCAAAATGGTTTCTCCGTCCTCGTCACTGGCGCCGCCGGTTTCGTTGGAGCCCACGTGTCCCTAGCATTGAAGAAACGTGGTGACGGCATTGTTGGCCTCGATAATTTCAACAATTATTACGATCCTACCTTGAAAAAGGCCAGACAAAGTCTCCTAAATTCCCATAATATCTTTATCGTGGAGGGTGACGTCAACGATGAGCGCATGTTAGCAAAACTCTTTGACATCGTGGCTTTCACGCACGTTATGCACTTGGCGGCACAGGCGGGGGTTCGATACGCCATGGAGAATCCGAATTCTTACGTGCACAGCAATATTGCAGGCTTGGTTACACTTCTTGAAGCATGCAAAAATGCCAACCCGCAACCCGCAATTGTATGGGCCAGTTCGAGCTCCGTTTACGGGTTGAACGAAAAGGTTCCCTTTTCCGAATCGGACAGGACAGACCAACCAGCTTCTCTTTATGCCGCCACGAAGAAGGCCGGAGAAGAAATAACCCACACGTACAATCACATTTACGGACTCTCGATTACCGGGTTGCGGTTCTTCACTGTTTACGGCCCGTGGGGAAGACCCGACATGGCGTATTTTTCGTTTACCAGGAACATTCTGCAGGGGAAGCCGGTAACAGTTTACCGGGGAAAGAACAGGGTCAACTTGGCCCGGGATTTTACGTATATTGATGACATTGTGAAGGGTTGCGTAGCTTCGTTGGATACCGCGAAGAAGAGTACCGGTTCGGGCGGGAAGAAACGGAGTCCGGCACAGTATCGGATCTTCAATTTGGGTAACAAGTCGCCGGTGACTGTGCCGATGATGGTAGGAATATTGGAAAAACATTTGAAGAAGAGGGCAAAGAAGAGTATTGTTGAAATGCCAGGAAACGGTGACGTTCCCTACACTCATGCAAATATAAGTTCGGCCCAAACCGAGTTAGGGTACAAGCCCACAACCGATTTGCAAACCGGGTTGAAGAAGTTTGTTAGATGGTACCTATCATATTATGGCTATAAGTTTGTAATGTGATTTATTTGAATTCTCCTTTTTCATAATTTCGACTTTACCCCCCTCCTTTTTTAAAAGAAAAACTCCCTTTATCTTCCTTCTTTCTTGTACTGGCAGGCAGGATCTCTGCCTTTTCTCTGTAAATTCTTTATGCTTAGGATACTCCCTTTATCTTCTTTCTTTCTTGTACAGGCCGGCATGATCCTCTAACTTTTCTCTGTGAATTTCTTTATACTTATGATTTTTCATTTAGACCCAGATTAGTGAGGATTAAATTCAAATTTTTAATATATTTTGATAAAAGTTGATGAATAATTGCAATATTGTGAATCCCATAAAATAAAGAATTACATTGTGTGGAGATTCAAAAATATTTGAATATTTGATGGGAAATTGTGTTTTTTAGACCGTCAAATAATTAGTCGACACGAGGCCAAAAATGAATGAATAAGATGATTTTAGTGCAATCAATTCTTTATTAGGGTTTACCAGTGAGGTTAATTGCTTCATGACTACTTTGTCATTATGTTGAAAAATGAATAGAAGATTTATTAATTTACTAATAAAACCAATGTGGCGCCAAAATTAATGTAAATTGGAGAACGCAATTATTGAGATGTAGATACAATGTGTAATCAAAACATGGCACAAATCATGCGCGTTTGAGTAGAAGTATAGCTTTGACGGGATTTAGGTTACAATATGATGTTATAAATGGCAACATTGAAATCGGTGTTTGTGGCTAACAAAAAAAAAAAAACCTATTACTTTCAAATGATATTTGATTAATCAAATCAATTACCTAGTTTTTGGTAGTAAATATGTGTGTTGTATACCTCGATTTTTGGCCGGTGATGTGATCAATAGACCTTGGCTCTTTCACGCGTAAGGCTCTTGAACACTTGGCCAAATCTTAAGAAGTACGTGACCTTATTCGATGGTAGGAGAAACGACCACGAGCACTTCAAAAGTCAAGTTAATTAACTTATAAATTTGGGAGTAGGATGAATGACATACTTGAGCCAGACACCGAAGAGAACAATAAGAGCTAAGTTACATGTTGAGAGTGTAAATAGAATTGCCTTCAAATGGCCTTAAGTATAAGCTTTTATTGTATAAGAGGTGAAGTGGTTATCGTTGGATGAAAGACACGTGACCTCATTTTAATGATCCGATGCGTCTTCATTTAAGTGTCAATTCTGCAGTCCTAAATTCAGAGAGCATTTAATTATTCCTAAAAATGGCCACCATATAACCTAGTTTTGACATCTGAAAAGTAAACAATAAATTGATTGAGACTACAGTGATATTAATTATTGACTCAATTTTGTACGAACGATCTCTTGAAAGAGGCGAAATTAAAGAGATGTCTTTGTCGAATCAAAGGCTCATAGCTTCAGATCGTTGCCCTTCGCCTTGGCCATGGAGGGTCGATTTCTACATTACGTCACGATTGAGATGGTGGCATCACTTCGGTTACCTTTATTTATTGGCCTCGATTCGGCTTGGTAGATCAATAACGTGGAGTGTAGGCCTCTGGTGGCTTCTTAGCGGGCTGCTACATGGCCATTGGCTAGAGCCTCATAGGATGAAGCGCAATCATAGTTCTCCAAGTCCAAGCGTGAATATTTATATAAGATGTGGACTTTTGGTAGGAAAGTATGAAAGATAATATATAAGGGAGGATTTATGAACTGGGAGAATATTGTAATACATGGACTATGGTTATTGATCAGGCCTATTTTCCGAGATAACAAGTGGAGGTGTGAACTTAGAAGTTGGTAAACGTAGGCTTGGGGCTGAAGACCAGATTTTAGGGTGAGGCCTTGCGTGGTAGGAGGGCTAATGTAGAGGCGAAATTCCATTTTGGGGGCGATGCCCCTAAGCTTGGAGGAATTATAATTGTAAAGTTGGGGTCCTACGTTCCAGGTTCTAGGTATGAAGCCTTGAGAGTAAATGATGTTAGCGACACGGACTAAATATAAGTGCGGGTGAAAGGGTTGTTGTATATCAAACAAACAAAAAATAATGTTTAATCTACAGGAGCATGATTAAACACTATAAATATGGATTGTAAATGTAGTATGTAGACTACAAACGAAAACCAAAAAGTAAAACCAAGAAGGGGAGAAGAAGAAGAACAATTCGAAGCAAATGATTTTCACTATTTCCTTAAGACAAAATTGCCCCACAACGTTGCTCACGATTTACGACACTTGTCTTCCAAGATACAACAGATTCAACTTGTGGTAGAAATACTTCAAACCACAAGTTACGGCGAACTTTCGACGGAGTTTCTCTCTACAAAGAAAAAAAAGGTTTTGAATGAATTTGGAAGTGATTTTTAAGAGTTTTTATGTAATACTCAATGCAAATATGGTATGTGATACCCAATGGACGTCTAAGTTGTCCTATATATAAAGGATGAGGGGGTTATAAATGAAGTGCAGCGCCCAAACTTAGCAACTCTTATCAAATGTCACACCATTCACGTCGCTAGCCCCTGGCTATCGCCTTGCTCGAGTGATGAAAAACAGTAACTTTGTCACTAGCCTGTCAATCGAGTGATAGTCCAGCGTTGGGCTAGCAACACACTTAGCCAATTTTCGACAATTTTCCCTATTTTCTTGCCAATTTTGGACTGCAATTTCTCATTCATCCGGAATTGATTTTGAAATTCCAAATATACCACGACGATATACTCAACGAATAGAACAAGTTGATTTATTTACATTTGTAATTCGACTATCAGATCAAGTCCGAATATTTGGACGAAATTGACATGAAAGTCATTTTTTCCATGTTTATGGTTTGACACCTAACCAAAATTTTCAATCTTTTAAACCAATTTCCAACAAATGAATCATATATGCTGAGGTAGAGTCCCTTGTACTTGGGAGAGGCCTTTGCTAAGCTAAAGATGTGTTGTAAAGGCAAAGTCCCAAATTGTTGGGTTGAGGCTTTTGAAGATAGAAGTAATAGTGGTGCAGAAATGAAGTCTCATACTTAAGGGATGAGGCGTACGAAGGTAGGTGAAATGTTGTTGCAAAGGCTAGGTAAAGTCCCCATGGAAACCAAGACATTGATGGGGTGCGTGCCAATAATTTGAAAGGTTGCATAGTGTCAAGAAGTGTAATTAACACATAACGTCCCCACCTGTCATTGTTATTGTGGAAAATATGTATACCTTTTATTTTTTGACATTTTCACTCTTTATTTTTTTAATTGCAATCATAGTCCCAATTTTTTTGAAAGACGTAAATGAGTCCCAAATAAATTATTAAAAGGGTAATTAGTACATAATGTGCCTATTTTTCACCTTTATTGCGAAATACATTCATACCTTTTATTTTATTTATTTATTTATTTATTTGTATTTTCACCCTTAATTACACATTTGATTGTGCAAACCATCAATTCCATTCAATTTTTCAATAAAGAACTGTGAAATAATAAATATACCCTCATATTTAAATAAATTTTTTAAATTTCTAATTCTTTAATAATTTATTTGAGACTCATTTACACTATTAAATTTTTTTAATTTTTAAATAAATTTAATTGAGACTCGTTTGCACTTTTTTTAAAAAAAATTGGGACTATGATTGCAATTAATTCTTTAATTTTTTTATTTAAATAGGAGTGTATATTAGTCAATTCACTTTTTTTTTTTTTAATTCAGAAATTGGATGAAAATGGATAGAAATGATGGTTTGCGCTATTAAATGTATAATTAAGTAAGAAAATGCCAAAAAAAGGAATGGATTTTTTTTGCAATAATAGTGAAAAGAAGAGACATTATGTGCAAATTACCTTTTTAATAATGTATTTGTGTCTCATTTGTACTTTTCAAAAAAGTTGGAACTATGTTTACAATTAGTTTTTTTCTTTTTTCCTTTTGTTTTATTTAAAGGAAAAGATAATGACGTTTTCTACAATAATAATGAAATGTGGGGACGTTATGTGCTAATAACCCTTTCAAGAAAGTCAGTTGAGAGATTGTTTTTAGGAAAAAGCCGTTTGTACAAAGCTTGTTTACAAAAGTCATTTACAAAGTGATGTGTACGGTGGAGATCGCTTGGAAGTGGACGGCTGTGATGTATGGAGAGCTTTGGGCGCCAAAACAATGAAATGGGTGGGAGAGAGAAATAAAATGGAATTGATACGACGCCGACGACAAGAGACACAGAGGATCTCCAATTTTGGCAAGAAATTGAAAATAGCATTTCTCTTCTACTGGATTTGTATCTCCCCCAAATCAAGGTGCCTTATTTATGAAGAGGAGCTCTTGATTTCAGCTGGAGTGGAAGAAACTGAACTACATTGACAGAGCTTCGATTTGCCGATTGAGAAACCAACGTGAATCAGGACGACCAGCTATGAACGCCATCTCCGGAAGTGGGTCACTACAATTGACGGTATGAATTTGTATGTGTTGTAACTTTGAAGTAACCCATAAAATTTCTGGGCTTTACTCTGTAATGTGAACCTTATGATAAAAAGACGATGAAGTTCCGGTTTCGCATTTTTCTGTCTTTAATGAGATCTTCTGGTTGAGCATTTTTCTGTCTTTAATGAGATCCCCAAATCCGAAATTGCTAACTGTGAAAAAGACGATGAAGTTTTTGAGTTGGTTTCAAGAATCTGACATAAATTATTTATAGGCTAAAGTGAAGACTTCCATTCTCCATATAAATTATTTATAGGCTGAAGAAGCTGGGTAGTGTTCGTGTGAAATAAACTGGGTAGTGTTGATGGCTAACCAGTCAATGAATAGACTTCCAATGGCTAACCATTCAATGAATAGACTTCAATTCAAAGAAGCTGGGTAGTGTTCATGGCTAACCAGTCATTTACAAAGAAGCTGGGTAGTATTCAAACAAACTGTGAAGTGGTAGCATTGTGTTGCGTACAAATATTCATGACTTGCAAACCGTGTAAACCCCAGAGAAGTGTCTTTAGACTGTGAAGTGGTAGCATTTGGAATAAATGAGAATTAGAATATGATAAAAATGTAATTATGGCTAGTGAAGTAACCCATAAAATTTGAAGAATTCTAATGACTTATTAACATGCCAAATTAATGAATCAAAGTAATTAAATGTTGTGTAGTTGCATATGTTTGATTTTGATTTTAATTGTGGATTGGAATAAACTCCTTAGCCTCTTGTAGGATGATCCAAGTATGAAAGATGTTCTATT